AACTTCCTTACGGAAAGGATCCACTTCCTCCCCTCAATATGCAGAGTCATTGTTGTGGCTATAAGTGATCTCTCCGGATTTACTCCTCTCAAAGGTGGCAAGTCTCTATTACAATTAGAGGATTCCTCTTTTGCATGTTTTTTTCAATGAGCTCCTAAACACCCCATTAAGAGTTTTTTCTTTACGGCATACATCTTGCTCTTCTAGTAAAAGCTTTAAGGGAAATGAAAAATATGGTTTAGAGTTTAAGGTTATGGTAGGTGGATGATGTGAGAAAATAATTGTTTCTGAGAGAATGTTGGGTTGCAAGAATTCTTGGTTAGGCATAGGAAGGAAGAATTTGTCGAGCTCTAATACCAGATGATAGCGATCTAGAGCTCTTAAAAGGTATTTAGGAAGCGGTTTAGTGAATCTAATTGTGAAACAACAAGGGGAATGGAATATGGGAGGTTGAATTTGTTTGGAAGGGTTAGGAGGCAAAATCTGTGGTTGGACAACATATTTGATGTTGATAGATGGCCATCCAACTTGAAAACAATGAGGCGGATGATGAATTAGAGAGGTGGAGAGGTCGAGAAGGTTTCACCGCTTGTCCCTGAACAAGATAGAATCACACAACTTACAAAATGAAGAAGATAAAGCACTTTGGAGAGCATAAAATAGAGAACAATGTATCTAAACACGACAACAATAGCCAAAAGTCCCAATAAAAAAAATATACAGCCATAAAGTCTATTAATAGAAATAACTTAATTAGAAATGAGAAATAAGAAAAGAATCAGAAAAAAATGAGACAAAAGAAACAAAAGCTGAAATATGAAGGATTTCAATTGGCGGTCATTCTCGTGATAACGAGAAGCGTCGAGAAACAAATCCCACAAGCTGAAATAGGAAGGATTTTGGTTGGCGGTCATTTCTAATTGCTTCTTTTTGAGTTGTAGGAATTCTGTTCCGCGGCTCCTGCTAAGCTCCCACATCATACATAAGTTTATTTCATGAGGGAAACTAACTCCAGATTGGCCTATCTGATCTTTTCAAGAAAAAGAACTACCTATATCATTTCCAGACACTTGCCAACAATAGCTTGAATTCCTCCACATTCCAAAGGTACAATCTCAATTACTTCCAATTATTCATTAGTTGGTGTCAGCTAGTCTCTTCCCCTCCTTCAAGACAAAACACGGCCCCTATCATCATGCAATGCCATCAAAATCAATGCCTCTAAATTGTTTTAACCACCACCAAAAGAGATGTTCACCTCAATCCATTTTTTTTTGTAGTGAACCAAATCAGAAGCGGTCACCAAAAACTAAAGTCGTATTGATCACATTTTTTAAAGTCGATAGGCCTAAAGGGGGAAACCACTACAACAATGGAGTCGTAGTAACGACCTGATTTCAAATTTTGAAATAGGAGTATTTTAGTTAACATATATAGCTCCATTAATTTTATTTTTAAAAGTGTATTCGAGAAAATATAGATTGAAAGAACCACCTATAACACAATGTTCCTCTAATATAAGTTTTCCAATAAAAAGTGAGATACTAGATGAATGATGATCTTGTTGATCACCTTGTGATAGAAAAATTGTAAATTCACGACAAAAGAAAATTTCATAATAGTCGATGCTCCAAAAACTTATAATTTAATAGTTGATTGTCCATTTCTTAATCTCCCCTGAGCTATCATCTCTACATACATGTAACAGTAAAGTTATCATTTGGAAGAGGAGTCACAATCTAAGGCGACTTACACCAATTAAGAACTTGCTACCTTAGTCCATGGACAAAAGTTAGGAACATATTACGAATGTGAAAGCACAAACAAAAACTAACCCAGAGACTCAAGAAAAGATCGAAGATTTACCTATTAGAGAAGACCCATGAAAAGATCGAAGAAATACCTATTGGAGAAGACCCAAGTCGCACCTTCTGAACTAGTAACCTTTGATGCAAAGTACAAAGATAAGTTGTTGGAAACCTTGAGAGAGCATATTAGCATAGGCACCAAATGAAATTCTAGAAGTTGATGTTGACGTAGCTTATCATTATTTAAAAATGGTTAAAAAGGTCAAACTGATTAAACAGAAAGACCTGAGGTAACCACTTTGGTCGGCCCAAAATGTGAGAAATTATAAAAGTTACTTGATGTAAGTTTTATTAGAAAAGTGCAATCTCTAAACTAAATTTACAACGTAGTAGGGTATCCAAGTCAAATGGAAAGTGCCAAATGTGCATCGACTTCACAAATTTGAATTTCTCCTGCCCTAAACATAGATACCCACTATTGTGAATTGATGCTATCGTCGATTCCACAAAATATTCTTTCTAGATGCTTTATTAGGCTATCATCCAATATAAATGTATTTCAAAAACATTGAAAAATTTTCCTTTATCATTAGTGATTGATTATGCAGCTATAGTTTAATGGCATTTAGTTTAAAAAATGTGAAGGCGATTTACCAAAAGACCATGGACCATATCTTCAATAAATAAAGAGAGAAATAGAAAAGTTTACGTATGTAAAAGCCCACAACATATATTGACAATCTTAATGAATGTTCACCATTCTCGAAATATCTAACATGAAATTGAACTCACTAAATTGTACCTTTGGTGACATCTTGCAGGACTCTAGGTGGAACCAAAAGGCCAATCAAATTAAGATAATTTGTATTTAAATTATTAACTCATAAATTCATATATGATTTCAGCACAAGAATGTCAAATTTAACAATTTATTAAAAAAAAATATTATATATTAGAAGTTAAATTTGATGATAATTTTAAAAATTGAATAAGAGAAAATTACTTAATTTGAGAAAAGAAAAAAAAGAAATAGCTAAACCTAGATAACTATAAGATGTTATGTTAAAGAAAAAAATATTTTAAAATATGAAAGCTGAAAATGAAGCTATCATAATACATTCAATATGGTTCCGTAAGAAGAATAAAACATTTAAATAAGGTTCCGTAAGAAGAATAAAACAAGGAAAATTTTAATATTATCTTGAGCTGGTCAATAATCCAATTTCAAATGATAAACACTAATTATGATTTACATAATTAAGTGCAAAGGATAATTAAACTTGTGTAATTGAATAAATGAAATATTTCATTTTGTAATATAAGTAAATAAAACTAATTGACTGCAATCGTGTACATTTAGAGTTAGGTACTCAATTAAAAAGGAAGTGATAGCGGAAGAAAAAAGATTTGTCGTCAAGAGAATGAGCTGTACTCTCACTACTAGTTTATAATAATACTATTGATTTCCTCCAAACCAAATGCATAAAATAATATAAACACTTGTTCATGTAAATTGATACTGCAACTTACGATTTAACTGCTTCATAAATTTATTGGTAATATTTGAAATATATGCTACAGAGCTTATCTGATGACACCTCTATAACAAAAAAGAGACTTGGATGCCATGAAAACCTCATTGTCCTAGACAACCTTCAAATAAAGGGAAAAAAGAGAAACTATTAGAGATAGATTGGTAAACCAAGCTAGAAACTAACCAACCCGAATTCTATTGCATCCTAATCTGATGAGATCGTTAAAGAGCCTCCCAATCCATCATGGAAACCACTTTCACTTATTTTACCTTAGAGAGACCTGTAACGACTATCTTCGTCTTTCTCCTCCCCACAACAGCCGACTTCTGGCTCCCAACATCATGGCCATAACATTATCATCAGCAATGTCAAAACATATCTTGTCCATGACCCATGGACTACAAAACACCTAGCAACAATGAAAGGAGAGACTTACAATGCGAAAACCTCTACAACCGAAGGGACGAGAACTGTGTAGAACTTACCCTAACATAGATAAAACGACAAACACATCAAAATAATGAATAGAAATGTACGCTAACTTTTCTTAAATACATTTACATACACTTCCCAAAATAATAAATGCAATAAAATTGTACTAATGGCCCTTTGCAGGCCAAATACAAAGCTAAGTCAACGCTAAACGCACTGATTCAAACAAAATGATGAATAAGATATGGACTCAACATGAAAGTGGAAATCAAAATTTCATTCTCTTGTTCATCTCGCATTCTTTTTTCAAAGAGGTAAGAGAATCAGAGAACTAGACGTACACTTGAAAACAGACCATCCCTAAAAAAATAATAAAGGATGCAGGTTCAATGGGACAGACTCAATATTATGTCATCCAACCAGACATTTACAAACTCACCCACCGAGTTTAATGGAGGTACCTTGCTAGTTCGATCAAGAATGCGAGCTCAACTAGACAAGCTCTAGGCTTCAAGCCGCCAACAACAAGGAAAACCGACACGTTCATCCAAAGAGAACATCCACTTAGGCTCCAAATGACTTCAACTTTACATAAACTAATATTCAAAGGCTAACAAGGCCAAGATGGCTGACTACAATCATAAATGCATACGAAGTTATCAAGAAATCAATAAACCTCTTCAGCAATTACCCAAGCTTATATTAAGTTATCAAGTGATCAAATTATCAAGCCTCCTGTATTCCTTAGTCTCTTTTCTATGTATTGCTTATTCCGTAACTTTTCCTGTAGTGTTCAAGATCCTAGATCTTATATCTATAAATAAGAGATCTCATGGAGAACCAAAGGGTTCGGCCCTTTCAATGCATGCCAATTTTTCCTAAAAATATTTACTTAAACTTCTCAAAAATAATAAATGCAAGAAAATAGTACCAATGGCTCTTTGCAGGCCGAATACAAAACTGTTGATGCCAAATGCACCAATTCAAACAAAATGATGAATAAGGTATGGACTCAACGCAAAAGTGGCAATCAAAATCTCATTCTGTTGTTTAGCTTGCAGTTACTTTTCAAAGAGGTAAGAGAATCAGTGAACTAGATGTACACTTTTAAAGCAAACCATCCCTAAATCAAGAATAAAGGATGCAAGTTCATCGGGCCAGACTCAATGCCACGTCACCCAAACAGACTTTTTACAAACTCACCCACAGAGTTTAATGGAGGTACCTTGCTAGTTGGACCCAGAATGAGGCTTCAACTACTCGAGCTCTAGTCTTCAACCTGCCAAAAGTAAGGCAAGCCCACATGCTCATCCAAAGGGAACATCCCACTGAGGCTCCAAATAGACTTCAATTTCACATAAACTAATATACATAGGCCGACAAGACCAAGATGGCTAACAACAATACTAAATGCATACGAAGTTATCAAGAGACCCATCTACCTTTTTAGCGACCACCCAAACTTATATTAGGACAAATAGCCTCTTGTATTCCTTACTCTGTTGTCTATGTATTGCTTATTCTGTAACTTTTCCTGCAGTGATCAAGACCATAGATCTTAAATCTATAAATAAGGGGTCTATTGTGAATTGATGTTTATTCTGTACAGCCATACTCTTCAATTTTGTAAAAGAAAAAAAATTAAATTGAAGAACTACGTCACTTAAATTTGTTAAATTGACACTTAGAAATGGTGAAGTAGCTAACTTTTTATTTGAAGCGCATCAAGGATGATGGTTACTTTAAAATTTTGTGGAATCAAACGAAATACAGACCTGTGGATCTCTTTCAGCCACTTATCAACACATGTCTGGTGAAATTCATGCTGGCATGGTAGTTTCCTGATAAATTCTCCATCTTCATATTCCACAAGGCAGATGTAGCATCTGCCAAATCAGATTAAACAAAATATAAATGCCAATTAGAATGTCTCATTGACAAAAGTACGATCATGCCACATCTTTCTAAAGAAACTTCAAAAGCAAGGCACACTTTAACTTCTGGACAACAGGAAATTTAATAATTTGACTATTAGGACAGATTAGTTAACCTATGTAAAAAATATGACCCGAATTAAAGCTTATTATAAGCCTTTTCAAGACAAATAGAAAAAATTATGAAACAAGAATGTCATGGACAGAGTGAGCCTGTAAAAGATACTCACTGTGGAACCTCCTGATTCAAGTGTGATTTTGATTTCACATAAACTTTCAAGGGAATGTTATCCACAGCCTCTTTCGGTGCAGGAACAGATCCAAGAGAAGAAATGGATTGTCTGGATGAAAGAACAACAGATTGCTGGTGGATTTCATCCAAAACCTACATGTTTGATTTGGCATGAAACAATGACACCCTTTAAGTGTTACAGAGCAAATTTAGTAAATTCGAATATTATATTAGAACTAAACAAGACTACCTGAACTATTTTAAGAAAAAAAATCATTTCCCGTATCTTATTGTAAGTAAAAAAAATGTACATTTTTGAACTTCAAATGTCCAGTAGTATTTTGTATTCTGCCTTCCATATTTACGAAAAGTACTCCAATCATCTTGACATGTAAAGATTTGAATTTCATTAAAATTATGATTTCTTTTTTCATCCCTTGAATTGACTCGACAGAGCCTCTAATTTCTTTCATTGCATTCTATCTTATAATGGTTAACATAATCAACTTCACTAGACTTTATTAGATAAAATTTAAATTTAATTTGATCATTTTTCATTCTTCCTTTCAAATACAAATTCTAATCTTCATGGAATTTGTCACTAAAAAGATCTAAACCTTGATATAATTAAAAATTATTTATATTACTACTGCAATTCATTTGTTTTCTGTATTTTATAATAAAATTCATATAATTCAAGCACAGATCAATGTTTCTGCTTAAGAAACCAGTCCTTAGTACAAAATATGAAACACGTCTTTACCTCAAAAAGTGCCTCAGCTAGCATGACAATTCTTGAGATGCTGGAAGAATTACTTGTGTCATTGTTATGATGGGAAGTCCTGTTAATTGATCTGCACGTGCACTGTCCTGTTCTATGCTGTCCAGATAAAATGCAGGATCTATCATGGCCTGATAGGTTCTCAAACCGGCTCCCCAGCCTCTGAAGAACACGAACCTGCCATTTGAAATCATTTTACAAAAGCCCGTAAAAAATCACTGAAGTAATGTGTGAAGTTAGCTACCTGGGATCTTATTCTCCTTCTTCTCTCCAGAAAAGCTGACCTATGCTCCAACAAATCGTGATTTCCAATGTCTCTAATCCGTGAAACTCCTGACGTATGAAGCTGGCCACTTCCAATAGAACCATCCACATGTGAAGATTGCAGTGCTTCATTTGCCCGAGTAGAACTTGATGTCCTGGCGACAGTTTGCCCATTGAAAACCTGACTGTTGGACCTTATTAGCGACCTCTCTTCTAAAAGCAAAGCCCCAAATAAATCCTCAGACAATGTGCTTCTCCGAAGAACTCTGTCACGGAGCCGTCCAACGCTGCGTGTTCTACTAAATCGCATACTTCCTTCCATAGGCAATGAGGGACCCTGGCGTCTAAAATGGTTCATGATATCAATGGTGTCAGTTTCCTGAAGGTTTTGATGGGAATGTTCTTCTAAACTAGCTTCAACGTGTACATTGCTTCTATCATTATCATGATTATTTTCCAATCTAATATTTTCCCCGCTTCCATTACTATTACCCAAAGAGCCATCATGTCCAGAAGAAACATTATTGTCAGATGTACTGACTTTGCTTGCTCTAAAACCCGTGCTATCTGGAATGAAAGTACAAGGACAATGCAAGCAGCCTGGATGGTTGGAAGATTGATCGATAAAGGAATGATCCTGAGAATTGCTGCATCCTGAATCATTTTGACGCATAAAGCTTTTCAAATCCCTATTTTGTTCGATGTTAGCATTAATCGATGAAGTGCACTGACACACAGCAAATTTTCCACTTGATGCTTGATTTTCTTGGCATGATTTGCTTGCAACTTCTTTACATGTGATTCCATTTGACCTCCTGTAAATTTTTATGGTCTAAGACAAAAATAAAAATATATCATTTAAAGTTCTCTTAGTGGAAGTTTATTAGTAAAAGAAAGTTTTGATGTTTTAGCAAGACTGAATAAATTTCCATCATTCAAAAGTTTCAAAGTTTATATTGCATCTAAAAATTGAGTTCAGCTCAAGTAACATCTGTTATTGTTAAAATAATTGCACAAAAACAATAGCTGAGGACAGAAAGAAAGCTACACAAGACCAAAACTAGAGAAGACGATTTATGTGGTTCAATAAAATTTGCTTGCCTACATATACATACAACAACAACAACAACAACAAAGCCTTAATCCCACTACGTGGGGTCGGCTACATGAATCTTTTTTCTCCATTGCGTCCTATTTAGTGTCATATTTTTATTTAGTTCTAGTAAATTAAGATCATTTTTAATACAATAAGCCCAAGTCTTCCTAGGTCTACCTCTGCCTTTCTTAACACAAGTCGAATTTAAAACATCTACTCTCCTAATCGGATCATCTAATGGTCGACGTTTAATATGACCAAACCATCTAAGGCGACTTTCTCTAATTTTGTCTGTCACAGGAGCTACACCAACCCTATCACGAATAAATTCATTCCGCATTTTGTCTCTAAGTGTAAAGCCGCTCATCCACCTAATCATTCTCATCTCGGCAACACTTAACTTATTATTATGCTTCTCTTTTAAAGGCCAACATTCAGCGCCATAGAGCATTGCAGGTCTCACCACCATCTTATAAAATTTTCCTTTCAGTCTTAGCGGTACTTTTCTATCACACAAAAGGCCCGAAGCATTCCTCCACTTCAACCAACCAACTTGAATTCTACTATTAACATCCCCATCTATATCACCATCGCTTTGGACAACAGACCCAAGATATCTAAATCGTTCACACCTTTTAATAATTTGATCACCCAAAGTCACACTTCTGTCACTAGAGCTATTACTACTAAAATTACATTCCATGTATTCAGTTTTAGTTCTACTTAAACGAAGGCCTTTAGACTCCAATGTAGACCTCCATAATTCAAGTTTTTCCTGGGCTTTTTCTCTCGTTTTATCCACGAGAAGAATATCATCAGCAAAAAGCATACACCAAGGTACATCCTCTTGTAGATGTCCAGTAAGACCATCCATAATTAAAGCAAAAAGATATGGGCTTAAAGTCGATCCCTGATGTAAACCAACAGAAATAGGAAAATATTTTGTCAATCCTCCTTCAGTTTGAACACAAGTAACAGCTCTAGTATACATATCTTTAATGACTTGAATATAAGTCATATCAACACATTTCTTCTCGAGAACTTTCCAAAGGATATCTCTTGGAACCTTATCGTAAGCTTTTTCTAAATCAATAAAAATCAAATGTAGATTCTCCTTATTATCTCTGAACTTCTCCATCAAACCTCTCAATAAATGTATAGCTTCCATAGTAGACCTGCCCGGCATAAATCCAAATTGATTATGAGAAATTTTTGTGATGCGTCTTAACCTATGTTCAATCACCCTCTCCAATAATTTTAAAGTATGACACATCAAATTAATTCCTATATAATTTGCACACTCTTGTGCATCCCCTTTATTCTTAAAAATGGGATCAAAATACTCTTCGTCTACTCCTTAGGTATCTTTTTAGTTTTTAAAATAATATTAAAGAGTTTAGTAAGCCAAGAAACTCCCAAATCTCCCAAATATTTCCACACTTCAATTGGGATATCATCAGGACCTACAGACTTTCCACCCACTATGAGTTCTACGCAAGTGCACGTATCGCTTCAAGTAATATAGGGCTTTCCTTAAAACCCTTAGTATTGATCCCACAAAGAAGCGAGGTAAGAGGTCCTTAGTCAAATTCTAGTCTACTACTATTAGTCCTTAGTTTGGAAGATTGATTTAAGTGGTTTTTTCTAACACTTAAATGTAAGTCTTATGTTTAAAACAACTAATAACTATTCCTAAATGAAAATATTAATTCTAAAGATAACCCTTTTTTGATGAATTGATTTGGAGAATTTTGAGATGTTAAAAACTGTTATTCATATGTAGTGAATTGGATAACGTAAATGAATGAGATACATTAAATATTATATGTGTCAAATATGAGCAATTTTAATTATGTACCCTCAATCAAGTGTTATAGAGAATCGTTGGCTAATCTTAGGTTTAGCCTCTAAATCTGTGGCTAAACTGGGAGGATACTGACTCTCACTCCATATCTCCTACTACCCTTCCCCAAAAGGTTAACTTTCGTTTTAGTTCTCAAAAACTAAGACTAAATTGGGGATTTTAGTCTGTCACCCTAGAATCTTCAATTATTTGCCTAATAATACATATATATATATATCCCTATTTATTTGCACTCAACCCCCATGAACTTCACCATCCAAGGAATTTGAATGTGGTTTTGTTGAGAATTACACCGTCTTCTCGGGTCTTAATGTAATTACAATGAATTTTAACACTACAACAGACCCTTATTGTAATGAAAAGGAAGTGCAAGTAAAAACCATCACATTTATAATCAAAACTTCTTCTAGCATGCATCCCAATATCTTAAACACGAATCATACTCATTATAATAGATAAGTAAAATGAAAACAATGGTATAATCTTCTCATGCCATTATTTCGTAATAAAAAGAAAGAGTAAGAACGATACATCACAAAACATGAAAAAAATACAACAGAAAACAGCTTTTCATCAAAGCAAATCTACTAGATAAGTGTTTACAAAATCATAAGATAATGAAGAACATAATACTGAGGTTTTTCCCCTTGAAAGAAAGATATAAAATCTCTCCCACAAAATTTCCCGTTGATCCATGCAATTCTAGTACATCTCCTTACAGATTCTCTCATAATCTCCTCTCCAATCTCCCTAAAAATATAAAAATCTACATTTCTACTCATATTCTAAGATGTATATTTAGACTCTGTATCTAAACCTACTTGAGGAGCATAAACACTTATAATATTAAAAATCTTAGTATCAATGATAATCTTAAGGGCTATAATTCTATCACCAACTCTATTAATTTTTACAACATTATCTTTTAAACTCTTATCTATAATTACACCTACACCATTTCTAGTGCGACTCTTACCAGAATACCAAAGTTTAAAACATAAATTATCAATCTCCTTAGTCCTTTCTCCAACCCACTTAGTTTCTTAAATACATAAGATATTAATTTTCCTATGAATCATAATATCAACTAATTCCATTAATTTACCATTGAGAGTGCCTATATTCCAAGATCATATCCTAATATTAGTTTCATTAGTTTTATGGACTAACTTCTTTACTCGTATTCGCCCGTAATGTGGAAACTCTTGCTTATTTAACACCACACCCGGGCGCCGGTGTAGTGACCCTTGCACACTTTTCACTGTATTCAGGCTATACAGTGCGTCGCTTCCAGGAGACGCCCTAGCACTTACACAATGATCAAAAGGATTCATGTCATGATTTTTTTGACAAGTTTTACGCTGGCTGTCGACTACCTAACGCAACCCTCCATTTTTCTCATCCGGGCTTGGGACCGGCAACGGCAGTGTTCAACAACCCTTTATGTTAAAGAAGAATAATAAAGCACTGAGCAACAAATTAAGAGACATGTAGAAGATAGCAAAAAATTTTGAGAAACAATTTTTGTTCACATCACAAGGATTTTCAGGCACAACCAAGCTTGACTTTAGCTTGGTCACACGCGTTCCACACCACCACATTTACTGCACCAAAACAAGTTACTACGGCTAAAAGTGAAAGAACAAACAATCTATCTCCCTCATTCTCTCTAGTTTTTTTTTTACTCTTTTCCTCGATGTTTTTCTTCAAGACCAACCAACCATCATCTTTCTATTCAAAGAAGAAGAATGTCAAGGTCTTATTATCTCCATGCAACATTTAAGAAAGAATATCTAGTTGGAAAATGTTTATAAATCTTTATAAACTGAGAAAGAAAACATCCTTTTGGAATCAACTGCCGACATTATTAAATCCATAGAATATCTAAAGATATTGTCTTCCAAGTTTTATGGCAGAATAAAACAACGTTTGCTGAAGTTTGTCGAGACATGTCTCTTAGAGGCAAAATTCAATCATTTGAAAATTTGTACGTGCTTGTGATTAATAAGAAATCCTCTGAAATCTCCATTGAAGAAGATGAGAACAGTAACATACCTTAAGGTCAGGCTTTGAAAATTTGTACGAGCTTGTTGTTTTGTACCTTTTCCTTTATTCTTTTTCAAGCAAGCACTTGAAAAATTTTTCATCAAAGGATGATTTTCTTGCCACTGTTTTTTCTTTTACCTCGATGTTTTAAATTTTTATTGAACACTTGTGTTGTATATTGTAAGAGAATAATTGTGCCTTTTCAGAGCTATTGAGCCGGGTGAAAATAAACGACTCATTTAAGGATGTAAGATGATTAATGATTATGCTAAATATATAAAATTTGTCTAGTAGATTATTGAGAAAAGTCCAAGGTAATGTAAGAGAAAATTTTTATGCACCCTTATGTCTTAACATTTAATTTTATAGTCGCCCGGGACGAGCTTTAACTTTGGCCAACACCACTTATCACTTTATTAGTTGAAGGACTGCATACGCTCGCATGTGCCAGATCTTGCAATTTGTAACTTGTAAGATTAAAGACATCTAAAATGCACAAGATATTATTTACATCTCTTTACTATTTCATGAAGCTCGTGTTTAACTAAGTAAAAACAACAAGGTCTGTTAAGTGCATATTATGAGTCTACTCTATGGTCTTAACTTCCCTATGGAACAGAATCTCATGACTTTTAAACATGAGCCTAACTCAAGATCACTCTGATCTGAAGCTTAATTTAGTCCATCTTTCATTTAATTAACCAAATCTCATTTATGAAATATTGTTTTCTCTAACGTTGGCCTAATTTGCTAAATATAAAATCTTTATCTTGGAGTTACCTTCAAGTTGAAGGCTGATTCATAAATTTTAGACCAAAATTCTTTA